TCAACATGCTGTTTTAGTAAAGATGAGAGACGTCTTTGTACCGGATCCTGGGATAAACAATTACAAATGTGGGATATATCAACTGGCATGTTCAGATCTGAAGGACCAGTTACCTTAAACAAAGGACATGAAGGATCAATTAGTTCATGTCAGTTCAGTCAAGATGGTGAGTTCTCTTTATTATGACCCAGAGTTCTATCCAGAGTAGGAATCATACATAAATCAAAGAATCAGAGTAGATTGTGCTGTTAATAGGAGCAATAATTGTTCTTTTTATTAGAAACCAAAACAGTGTGAACCAGACTTGATTGATTTTTGATTATGGACCACAACAGTGTGAACCAGAGTTGAATGTTTTTTTTTTTATTAGAAACAAGAACAGTGTGAACCAGAGTTGATTGTTATGTTGATTAGAAACCAGAACAGCATGAACCAGAGTTGAATGTTTTTTTTATTAGAAACCAAAACAGTGTGAACCAGGGTTGATTGTTTTTTTTATTATGAACCAGAACAGTGTGAACCAGAGTTGTTTTTTATTGGAAACAAGAACAATGTGAACCAGAGTTGATTGTTTTTTATTATGAACCAGAACAGTGTGAATCAGAGTTGAATGTTTGTTTTTTTATTATGAGCTAAAATAGTGTAAACCAGAATTGATTGTTCTGTTGATAAGAAACCATAACAGTGTGAACCAGAATTGATTGTTCTGTTGATTAGAAACCATAACAGTGTGAACCAGAGTTGATTGTTCTGTTGATTAGGAACTAGAACAGTGTGAATCAGAGTTGAATGTTTTTTTTTTTATTATGAGCCAAAATAGTGTAAACCAGAATTGATTGTTCTGTTGATAAGAAACCATAACAGTGTGAACCAGAATTGATTGTTCTGTTGATTAGAAACCATAACAGTGTGAACCAGAGTTGATTGTTCTGTTGATTAGGAACTAGAACAGTGTGAACCAGAGTTGATTGTTCTCTTGATTAGAAACCAAAACAGTGTGAACCAAAGTTGATTGTTTTTTATTATGAACCAGAACAGTGTGAACCAGAGTGGATGGTTTTTGATTAGGAACCAGAACAGTGTGAACCAGAGTTCATTGTTCTGTTGATTAGAAACCAGAATAGTGTGAACCAAAGGTGATTGTTTTTTTAGTCCCCATTCGGACGCAATCCAAAAACGGGGACTTATGTTTTGACCTATGTGTGTCCGTGCGTGCGTGCGTCTGGACCTGTATCTTAGAAATGCCTGGACCAATCACAATCAAACTTCACACATACATCATACATGATATTATACATATGCACGTCAATTTGTTTCACAATCTGATTCAAGATGGCCGAATGGCGGCCATTTTTGTGCTAAAAATCATCAAAATCAAACATTTTTCAGCTGTTTACAGATGGATTTTGTTCAAACCTTGTATATACATTGGACGTTATAGGACCTTGATGCACATCATTTTGTTTTACAATCTGATTCAAGATGGCCGAATGGCGGCCATTTTTGTGCTAAAAAATCCTAAAAATTAAGCATTTCTTGGCTGTTTACAGATGGATTTTGTTCAAATTTAGTATATACATTAGACATTATGGGACCTTGATGCACATCATTTTGTTTCACGATCTGATTTAAGATGGCCGAATGGCGGCCATTTTTGTGCTAAAAAATATTAAAAATCAAGCATTTCTCGGCTGTTTACAGATGGATTTTGTTCAAACTTGGTATATACATTAGACATTATGGGACCTTGATGCAAATAATTTTGTTTTTCAGATAAGATTAAAAATGGCCAACTGGCAGCCATTATGTTTTAATGAATGTGGTTCTCGTGCCATATCTCTGAATTGCTTTCACTGATTATATTCAAATTTCAAATATTCATTATACATTATGTCATAGATGGACAGATATATTGGTTTGACGATCCTATTCAAAATGGCCAAATGGTGGCCATGTTTGTGCTAAAAAATCATAAAATATCAAGCATTTCTGGCATTTCTGGATGGACTTGAAACATATATTAGATATTACAGGTTCCTGATGCACATCATTTATTTTTCAGAATGGATGTCTGACGGCCATTTTGTTTTAATGAATGGGCTTCTAGAGCCATATCTCTTAAATGCTTTGACTGATTATATATTCAAATTTTATATATTCGTTATACATCTTGTTATATATATACATGTATTCAAAATGGCTGATTTTGAATGCTGTTCCAGAGCAATATCTCTCAATATGGACAAGTACTTGTTTGAAGACCAGACACAAATGTCAATCATTTTAATGTTAAAAAATTATATTCCTGACATAGTTATATTCCAGATATATCACTATAAACAAAACTATATATCTTAAATTTGATAACTAACGGGGACTGTGCCATGCATGGCTTGTTTTTTTTAGGTTCATTATTAGTATCTGGTTCATATGATCAGACAGCTGCCGTGTGGGATGCAGACTCTTGTATCTTGAAACTGTCATTAAAAGTGAGTATTCCATAAATCTCAGAAAACCTACTAATCAATGAAAACTTCTACTGTAATGTCTGTCCAATGAAGTCCTCATGCATCAATATCCAGTGTTATGTTATTCTGATAAATGTTATGTCTTCACTGAGAAATGCAGCTAAGCCATTTTGACGCATCACTGATGCAAGGGGATTAAAATGACATATCTGGTAATAGTGATTTTTGATGCGTCATTGACACAATCAAAATGTGTAATTTATAGAAATAAAGATTGACTTTTTCTTGAAAAAGAATTTGTAACATATCGTAATTGTAAAGACATGAATTTATTAATTTAGGTGTACATAAATGCCACTTAGAGTCCTCTAAAAATTGCTAACCCAAATTATCGAACACCCCCTATGCTTGACAAATCAAACTTAGAATACTGCTATGCGATGTTTAATCATTGAAGTTCAAATTAACATTTAATTATTAATTTTTTTGCTTACAAAAATCACAAACGACTGTATGTCAGAGGGCACACTGCAGCTCACATTACAATCTGAGCATCAGAATTTCAAGTGAAGCTAACACTACTTATGCTCTAAAATGAATATGTATACCATACCATGCTCTATTTATAGCACATGTGCTTACAGTGCCATTTATAGCACATGTGGTTACAGTGCCATTTAGCTTGAGGTTTAGAGCTAGATTTTACTTGCTATCAAAATAGCCACATATTTAATCTGTGCAGAGTAATCTGTCTTAATAGGTGAACATTGAATAATTAAAAATTATTGATGAAAATAACACATGCTTTAAAAATTAAAAGTTTTTATTAAAAACAACCAGATCTTTATCTATAATCGATTTTTAATCAGATCACATCTTGAATGATTATATGAAGCAATCAGCTGCCTCAATAGATGATTTTCCGTACAATTGCGAGATCTCGCGTAAGACGCGCGTCGAACGTCTGCTGCAAAAATCGAACGATTTGATTTTGAAATTCGAGTTTCTTTATTTCGTAGCTCACATCGACCAGCCGATCTTCAACAGAGGAATATTGCTTTCGAATACCATTACTTAATCAAAATTGCCTATCATCAAATGTGTACAGCACATTACTGAACATGGAAATGTCCCCAAAATATTTTCGTGTTTGTCGAATCCCACGCGATGTTTGTCGACAGAACGACGCTATGACCTTTGTTTGTCCTGTTTTTACGTTTGATTTCACGCATAACGCGTGATTCTCACAGTCAACGAAAAATGGTCAATTGAATCTACATAATACTTGTTGTTGCAGGGTCACATGGATTGGGTATGTGGTGTTGATATTAGTGCAGATATGAAGTGGATCCTCTCTGGATCTCGGGATAAAACAGTCAGACTGTGGAACATTGAAGACAGTGATAATATACCTTTAGTTATGGAGAACAAACGCAGCATGGGGCTGAAAATTGTCAAGGTAAATATGTTAATATTGCCTTCAACAATTGGTAAATGTAAATTGTAATCTGGGATACAGGGTTTGCCCAAACCATGAAAAGATAAATTTACATTTTTATAAAAATTAATAATTATGCAAAGTAATACACTTATGTAGGCAGATAATTGACAAAATATGATTCATTTTGTGTATCTGTTGTAATGTTAGAAGTGTAGCATGTTACGGTATATAATAGTAAAACGTTTTATGGGATATAAACTTGTAGTCAAGTTTTTAGTTGTCTATGTTATTGAGCACACACAGTATGAATTCTGCAATTGAATGTTTAGTCATTTGTGAGACAATTCACTGCAGGTTTTCACACGCTCAAAATATTTCTTTAACTATTGCACTTCAGAGATATCTTGTAATCTACATATTGACACCAAAATATCAAATATCTTGTAAATTTTCCATGGCAACCTGTGCACTAAAAGGGCATATTTTTGATGACCTGAAGTATAATATCAGAAGTTTAAATTGCATATGAAATTAGCATACACCAGCATGGTAATTAACCTGATGACTGTTTCAGGATGTCAATGAAATATGTTGAAATCAGTGTATTATGTAATTATGCAAAGTAGCCACTTAATATGCATAGCAAAATAACAAAATCTTTGTTGGCACAATATGTGTACCCAATAATACAAGTTTCATCAGCATAGATGTGTTTTCTCCTCTCTCTCTCAGTGTGGTACCTGTGGGAAACCATTCTCGATATCACAGTTGGAAGATCCTAGCGAGTTTAAGGTGTGTGTATTCTGCAGACTTCATAAAGGTCGCCCTCTAAGTCACATGACTTCTATAGCTACTGATGAAGATGTTCCAGAAATGTAAGTGAATTGGTGAACTAGAATTTACCATGCATAACTTGATCTTCTCATATTGTATATTTTGCTGTAATAAATTGAAATGAATTGGTATTGGTATGGATTCTCTCCACAAAGCTGCTCACAATGCCGCCATTGAACCTTGAGGTATTTCGATTTCTGCTGATGTCATGATCACATTATAAGTCTTGAGATTCAAAGTAAATTACTCTTTACTAATTTGTTAGTTTTAGTTATGCATAGTCACATGATTCTGATCCACCAATTAACAATGAAGGTTAACTGTGGTTGCATCATGTCTAGTTGATAAAACTTGAGTAATTACATTGTCTGGTATACTTATCAGTTCTCCATCCTTGAAAACTATAAACAGATTTATAAATCAGCAATCCTTGATATTCTTTCAAATCAGTGCATTATTTAAAAAGAAATATAGCAATTGTATTGTGCTTCTTTTATGCTAACATTTTTTTTGTAAATATAGCAGTATTTTTTATATATATTTGTAGGGTTTATAGAAGTAGGATTTGAAATTGAGTTTGTATGGTTGGTTGTTTTTATGAGTTTTAGGGGATCACAGTTGCTTATTGCTTTATGTCAACAAATTATTATTCTCCATTGCCATCATGTTAGTAGACAGTGAACTACTGCTTAGTCCTAATACACAAATGTAAATTAAGGAACAGGATTTTTCATCCACAATGACTTTGTGTGATTGATTATATTCATAGAAGCTTCTTGATGTGAAAATTCACATTTTATTTAAAACAAGTGTTATTACATGTGTTATAAACATTGCATGGAAGCCATTTTGAACATAACAGACATGTTTTTGTTTTTTTTATATGTTCAGACCAGATTATAGGCCGGAATTTGTTATTTAGACTTTCCTTTTCATCCTATGAGCAATTGGAAACTTACTGCAGCACAAATGAAGCACATAACAAAATTGTGCAAAACTATGCAGGGGTTTTTCTAAACCGGGGTGCAGCGCCCTGATACTCGTGGCTGATGCCCTCTTATCGAATTGCCAACTGAACTTTAATTCATAAATATATTTCTTGAGCCGCGCACTTCATGCTGCCTTACAACATGAAATCTTTCTCAAATATATTTTTCTCCATGAAAACTTCCCAGCAACACAAGCTGACAATGTGTCTAGACACTAAAATCACTCCAACAATATTTCAATGACCATAGATACACCATTAAAACGGCACAGAAATCTTACAATATGGGGTTTCCAGGTCTATCGCCTGTGTGTGCTCCAGCTTTTTCATTTTTTCTAGAAAACCCCTGATATGTATCCATGTATTTTGAATATATCATATTTTCTCTATTAACAGTGCATGCAATGACAGAAGGTTCACATGTGTTGATTCTTAAATATTTTACTGACCCAGTATACAATAAATGCAATTTTTATACACTTCTATATGAGCTAGATGTTTTTCTAATGTACATACATGCTATACGACTTTCTTTCTAAATGTGTTTTACAACATCCTGTAGGCTGGCGTACTGTGATGTCATATGTATGCGAATGTTTGATAAGAAATATCGCTCACTGATCAGGAAACACTCACAATCTACAAATTGTTTTATTAATAGGAATGCATGCATATATGTTTAAATATAACAGCAGCGAAAAACAGTCACTGCGCAGGTGTATGCGTACAAAACGCAAACAAGTGTGATAGCCTATAATCTTCTGAAATGTATACGTGTATGGAATATAGCTTCAGCATATCCCAGTGTATTATAATGTACTGTGAACCATGTATGTTTATGATTTGATCACACAAGAATACAGTATAACTGCAAAATATGCATGAAGGCAGTACATTGGTCAAATCAATGCCAGAAAACAGATGGGAAAATTTATGGAACAAATGGCGCTACATTTTGAAATGAATGCAGATATTGTGCCATAATTGTGCAGTATTTTACAAGATCTTTTCATCCTACCATATAAGGAAATGCAAATTCCAAATATGGAATGATTATGCACATAAGCGTCCTCTAATAATAAAAACAAACATGGCTGCCACCAGAGTTTGACTGGACTCCACACAAAGAAGTTCGCTGATTCTGTTCTAAACTTTTTGTCATTCCCATGATGTTTCCTTGGAAGAAAAAGATGTACGTTGTATAATAATAAGGTTATTACGAGGATACCTCAAAGTATGCACTCGGACAGTACGCCATTACATCAACCTCCGCTGCGCGTCGGTCGATACTTCTACTGTACTGTCAGTCGCTATTATCTATTTTCAAACTGAAATTGGACTGTCTCTTTGTTTGCCATGTTTTATAACTTGTGGTGCTAGAAGTCCTCCAACCATAACAGAATTTAACCATTGTTAGCAGTGTGACATTACATACACATAGGCTTGTATAAGCCACATGGATTTGTACTTTTGAATACCTGACTCATTTTTAAGCATCACACTGTTGTCACAACAAATCATGCCTGAAATAGGTCACACTTAAGATGACAAATAATTTGTTCACACAATTCAAACTTCAGCCCCTAAAACATCAAATTCCTTTTTAAATCTGAATACATGTTGCATCATGTTAATATTTATTTTTCATAATTCTATATGTGTATTGCTGGTTTTTGAGATGTGTAACAATGCAGCCACACAGAACTCATAGTTACCTATGAATAAACTGTATTTGGTACAAGGGGTATTAGACATGAATATATCCAGCTGCCAGATTATTTCAGTATATTTTAATTTTGTTGCAAGAAATCATCTGTAAAGGCTGTATATACTTTAATATCCATATCCCCCCCCCCCCATTTTGTAAAGATTTGTGATTGATGTATACATGTATTTGTAATATTTGAATAATTGACAGTGGAATTTTCAGTATTGATTACATTAATGACTTGTGCTAGGCATATATGTATACCGGTACTCTGTAAGGTGATGGTATTGTATCCATTAGCATATGCTGTAGGTTTCCAGGCCTTATAGAGCTATACATGCTGTACCATTGTAAACATACAAATACTTATACCAGGGATTATTGAATTGTCAACTCGATCTGCGTTTGTTGGCGTATTTTTAATCTATATAAAACGCTGACAAAATATGAACCGTTATGAGCCGAATAAGTAAGTACAAGTGCAGACTAATATGTTACATGGATTATATTTAAAATACTAACAGAACGAAAATCAATATTTCCGCAGTATGTTTTCACAGCTTATATCCTACACTTTCTTTCTACGAAGGAATTTAATTTCTGGAATAATTTGATCAAATTCAATCTATTTTCTCAATACAAGAAGCAAATAGTTGTAGCGTATGCATGTTATTACACACTTGAAATGTTGCTGTATATTTCAGTCACCCTATGTTTCAATAAAATGATTCAACTGGCAACCAGAGTGTGAATTATGGAGTTTTTGGCTCCCGTATGTGCAAATTAAAGCAATGTCTGTCTGTCTGTCTGTCTGACTGTATGTATGTGTGTCTGTGTCAAATTTTTTTTCACTGATATCTCAAGAATCACTGGTTGGATTGAAATGAAACCTGGCACACAGCTACTATATCCTAAACACCAGCTCTGATTAGATTGTTGGTACAAATCTGTGCATCTTAATTAGGTAATTGCATCATAAGCATTTTTATGAAGTTCAAGAAGTTCAAATATGTGGTAACACAGTTTCTAAATATATGTGCATATTAATTATCTCACTAATTAACTGTCTACAGCTTGTATCTTAACAACGGTTTGTTTCAATGAATTGAAACTTGGTATATGCATTGTAAACTTGATTGCCTGATAATAGTTTTTAGTTAATATGCTCACTTTGATTTGCAAACTTATATACTAATTAACTGTTTTCATCATATTTGGTGTATATTATAACAATTTTGATTGAAACTATGATCAATATCAAATGATATTTTGAAGTTAATCTGTTTATACTAATTAATTTACTAATTAACTGTTTTAGTTTGTTTATTTTGTATCATATCAGTAGTTTAATCTACAGGCCCTCTATCATATGATAGAGAGACTGTGTTTAATCTAATGGCTTGGTTCTCGCATATTGTTACATTTTTAGTTGAATGTCTAATCCTAGTTTCAAATCAATACATGATAATTAGCTAATTTGCATACTGATCAACTAATTTTCAACACACATTGTTTATATTCTAACAGTTCACTTAAATGGATTGAAACTTTGTACAGACTTGCTTTTTTTGTAGATTAATGTGTAACAGCTTCTAATTAAATCCAGGGAAAAATACTAAACAAAGAACTTACAGTAAACTTAAATAATATCAAAGCAGTTTTTAACAAGAATTCAAAAATATCACTTTTTACCAAAAATGACAAAAGTATTCATCAAAATTAGAGAATTGAATACATCATCACGAAATGAACAAATCTGAGAGAGGTCCACCGGTAGTACCTATATATTTAATATCAAATCAATCAGACTTGTGGTTTTCAACAAGAAGTCTAAAATATCACTTTTTACCAAAATATATCAAAGCAGTTTTTAACAAGAAATCAAAAATATCACTGTTTACCAAAAATGACAAAAGTATTCATCAAAATTAGAGAATTGAATACATCATCACGAAATGAACAAATCTGAGAGAGGTCCACCGGTAGTACCTATATATTTAATATCAAATCAATCAGACTTGTGGTTTTCAACAAGAAGTTTAAAATATCACTTTTTACAAAAAACATTCATCAAAATTAGAGAATTGAAGATATCACAAAATGAACAAATCTGAGAGAGGTCTACCTGAGATACCTATATGTATAATAGCAAAGCAATTTTACTTGTGATTTTTGACAAGGAATCAAAAATACCAAAAATATTCATCAAAATTAGAGAATTTAAGATATCACGAAATGAACAAATCTGAATCTATGTTGCAAATCTGAAAGCATTTGGTTTAACCATTTCGAAGAAGTAGGGTAGACACAAATGTAAAAAGTTGACAACAGACAAAAGGCGACCAAGGACAATCACTTATGAATATTAATGTGTGACAGGTGTCATGATACAAAGTTCTCAAAACATGTATCCACCTCCATGATGTATCGAACGACTTTCAACTTTTGCTGGAGTTACTGTGGACAGAAACGAGA